TTTTATACAATTTTGCTTTAGAGACCACTCTTGATGGAGAATAACCTTAGCAATGGTCGTGATAGTCATACTGGACCAGCATTAGATAATGTTGCAAATATTTCACTGCATAGTGTCACTTCTTCGACTGCTTATGATCAGTCTCGTTCAGGCGTCATGCATCCGAATTCTGTTGGTGGTGACGTAAGTAACAGTAAATTGAGCAATAGAGATGTTTGTTCTTACAAAGAACATTTATTACTAATTTTTAGGGTCACGTTCCAGAAATAATTTTAGTGTCACTTAACCGTGGTACGTCTAGTATTGGCCTTAGCATTGTTGCTGCTCAGGTTGTTCAAGTCATTTTCAATAAGTTTTCTTTTCTGACTTTAAAACTATGAAACTTTATGATTGAAGAAATTTTTTCATTTGCAGTTAGGTGGGTTCTCTGTTAAACTTAATTTACATTGTAGCTTCATCAAACTCGCAGTCTTATCTTCAAAGATATTTTCATCTTTGTCATTTCATTGGTAAGCATTTAGTATTACAGTTACAAAATTTTTATTTAGGGAGTTGGAGAACGTTGTGTTGGTATTTATGTCAAAAAGGTGGTAGAAGGGAGCGCAGCAGCAAGGGTAGGTGCTAGTAGTTTTCTTGAAATAAAGTATAATGCTTCTTTCTTAAGTTTGGACAACACTTTTCCTCTTTAAATTATGATGAATATAGAGAATGTGTTTTGAACCAACGTAAATTTTACTTTTTTTAATATCTTCTTAGCGGTTTTTTTTAGGATGGTCGTTTACAGTCGGGTGATCAGTTGATATCAGTCAATGGACAGTCTCTTGTAGGAATTAGTCAGGAAGAGTATGTCTTTGCTGTATTTTGCAAGTTCAGATTATTTGGCAGAATTTTGATTTCTCTGTGTTTCTTTCGCTTATTTTTTTAGAGCTGCTGCAAAAATGGCAGCGGCAGGACCAAATATTACATTTGAAGTGAATAAGCAGGCAGCTCGTTATAACGGACTTTCTAGTTGGCTTACTTGTCCACCTACTGTTCCATCGGAGGTTGGGTCATAAATATTGCTTTTATTTTATACTTCGTATTATTCTATTGCAAAGGCCAACAGGGTGATTATAATTAAAATCATTGTAATTGTGATCATTGTTACTGTCATCATTGTCGTTATTATCATTATTTTTACTTTTAACATTACAGTAATTATCATTGTTACCGCTGTCGCCACCATCTTTACCTTTTTATTGTTGCTTTATAATGGATTAGCTTAGTGCAACTGGAACTATTTTTCCATATTTTTGGTCATATTACCTAACGCATCTACATTATGCAATTTATTTTTTTACTGCAGGTATCTAGCGGTTTCAATTTTGAACAAACATCTACCGCTTCTTATGGTTCACCTTCCAATTTCTCGACTCTTCGGAGTGGTATGCGTATTTTTATTCATTAGTTTAGCTCTGCTTTAATTTTCACTGCTAGTACTTTTTTAAGTTTGTTTTTAAAGAAGTAACTCCCTCCAAAGATTTTCAAAACTAGTGATTTTAGTCGGCAGATTACGTCCAAAGTGGGGTTTTTTTAGAATTTCTGTGGCTTTTTCATAAATTTGTGAAGAGTTTTAGCTGTTAGGCTTAGTTTTAGATGGCATAAATGACCTTTTCGAGTCAATTTTATTTATTTTTTTCTAAAGCTATAACTATTTCCAGAAGTGAGGTGAAGAGCTGCTTCTAACGAGTTTTATTATGTAAAGAGGTTTGGTAAAAAATTTTCTTCTTAATTTCCAAATGTTTAGAAAAAAGAGGTTTGGCTTATGGTTATAGTGAAGATCCATCTTATGTGCGGCAAAATTCTGTATCGTCTACAACGCCCTCTCTGTATTCTGTCGGTGGCTACAGCGAGGTAAGGTTCTGGGAATGGAAGTCCAATGGTCATGTTACAACTAGGATCAAAATTCTGATTACCAGCATACAACTTTTTAGCAGGGCACTGGAACACATTATGGTGCGTTACCTTCTCAGATTCACCGTCAGATTCACAACGGCGCAATCAACAGTAGTTACCCGCAGCCCGATTCTCAAATGCGTAGTAATTCGCGGTCTTTGTCTGCGACAGAGTTGTACCAGAATTTGGTAACTCTTATCAGTGCATCCCTGAATTCAAAAATTAGTATTGTCATTGTCACCTTTTTGTTGCTAGTTCCTGGTGAACTATTTTAATTGAACTTTTAGGGTCCTGGGTCATCTACTAATTCATTGACTTCTTTGCCTCCACCACGTGGGTATGCAAATAATGCAAGTGCGCATATGTACAGTGGCAATACACATTCAGCGGGACATGGAAACATTCCATCACGTTATCGCATTGGGCTAAGGGATGCTATTCGTCCTATAGTTGTTCAGCCTTCCCGTCCTTCTGCTTCTCCACGTATAGCTCGGCGTGTTCTGGGTCCACCTCAGGCATATGGGTCTGTTCCTTCAACTTCAGAAATGGCTTTACAGACGAGGAACAACTCGTTGTCATTGGTCAGTCACTTTTTCAGTTGACAACCTAAAGGGAGTTTTATTCCTATTTGTGTCACGAACTCTTTCTTCTTCTCTATGCTTTTGTCATCTGTGTTTTCTTCGAGTTCTCAAACCAAGAAGACAACTCTTTATACGTTGGGAGCACTGTGAGAGAAAATCACTGTTTTGTTTATAGTGCCGAAGTGACACGTTGCGCTTTTTTTTGCTTCGCTTAACGCTTCACCAAAATGGAACCGTAATTTTTCTGTTCTTGGTATTCGAGTTTTATCAGTGTTGTCCCCATCTTTAAGCCTCCTCAGCCTTTGTTGTTTTCAATTAAATTACTTCTTTTTTTCCAAGTGGGCTTGCATCTGTAACTCGCTCTGGACAACTAGTATTATGCCAGAGGGACCAGTCATTAAAAGCTAACAACTTTTTCAGTAAGTGCTTTCTGCCTTTTTCTTAGCTCGTAGTAAGCTGCGCGACGTTTCAGCTTCATTATCCGCACCAAAATAGCCATCCTGCTGACTATATCAATTTGCAATACACTGATCAGTACTTGGTCGGTCCAGCATCTGATACGTCATTTTCTTCGACGGCTTCTCACTCGCTGACTTGTAACCAGAGTCAATTAAGTTTGCCTAAGTTTCCCGCATATGCTTCCCAGGCAGCACTACCCGTAACTTCGTTTTCTTCTTCTTCGAAGCTTGGCGTCTCTTGTCATGGTTATACTTCCGAACGCAACTTACCTGTCGCTGAATTTTCTCAGGACTCTCTAAATCTCCCAAGTTCGTCAACTACACCTGATTCGAGATACGAGTCAAATCCGTCTCCCTCAGTTGCGCAGAATAATAGTCGCCAACCACCTCTTCAATCAAATTCAGTGTCAGGTGGAGCTACCAATTTTTCGGTTAGTCGCTGATTTTTTAAATATGTTCCCGTGTGCTCATTGTGTCTTTTTTTTTTGCTGTCCTATTTTTTTGTGGTCGAACTTTGACTATTCTTTGTTCGTGTTTTTATCTAAAAGGTTTTTAGAGACGTGACGAACTTAATAAGGAGCTTGATCGGTTGGAATCCAAGGGAAGTGAGATGACAGAAGCAGATCAACAAAAATACAGGCAGTTAGTGGATGAGCTTGGTAAAATTCGGGAACCATTGTTTTTCAAGTCTTCGCGTCTAGTTAAGCCACAAAACCGGGAAGACGTTAGTACATTGAATATTAGCAAAGAAAAAGAGGAGGTTGACGTTGGTACCATTCCTGAAAAAGGAAATTCTCAGACGGAACACTGTTCTACGGATTCAAGTAAGTTTTGCGCCATAGTTGTTATAGTGCAGTTTTTTTTTTTGAGGAAAGGATTTAAGATGTTTGTCAATAAAGTGATAGATCACATAAGTAGCATCAGTTGGATTGCTGGAGATAGTATTCTTAGCGTAATATTTAGGAAATACACCGCCTACTGCTGTAAAAGTTAACGATAAAAATACGGAAGAGGCTATTGGTGAGCTACAAAGGGAAATGAATGATCTTTCCCTTGGAACTCCGTTGGTAGAAAACGAGAGTGGCGGAGTTGAAGCATCTCCGTATGTTGCGGTTTTCATTACTGTATTGTAGTAATTCGGATTTTCATCGAGCCTCATGTTAAACATTTTTTCTGTTGTGTTTTATTCTTTGCCATTCTTATTTTTACTTTTTTTTTTTCAAATTTTATTCGTTTTACTGTTATTGGTCTTGAAGTGCGTTTACGTTAATGCCCTTTTTTGTTATGAATTAAGTTTGCTTTCTCATTTACTTTTTTTCTAGAAATGATAGAAAACTTGTAAAAACTAAAAAGGGGGTGCAGTGGAAGGAAGAAAATATTGAGGCATCAGAAAAAGATTCTAAGAACCTCGTTTTCAAGAACATGGATGAATTAGAGCCCCGCACTCAGGTACTTATTGAAAAAGTTGTCGTCTTTGTTTATAACAAAGGTTTTTCATAATTAAACAGTACAGTTATTTTTAGTACAGATTTCAGAAGTATTGTTTTTAAAACATCTGTTTGTTTTTGTGGCGTTAAATTTACCTATCTTTGAAGGTTTTGGGTGCACAAGAGGTGTATCGTGATCCGAGATTGAAAAGGTTAAATGAGATCCAGGCAAGGAAAAATGCATCTCAGTCAAATGTACGAGTTGAATTCAGCAGCATTCATTTTGCAGACATCAGATATAACTGCGGGTTGTTTGCTCTATAATGCCCTTGTTTTTTAGATTGACGGTGCTAATCTTGGTTTTCGTGAGAAAATGAGGCTATTTGCTGAGCAAGCTGGCGAGATGTCATTGAAAAACCGGTATAAGACATCGTCAGCACAACGCGAAATTGAACAATCCCTTGATTGATAAATTTGTTAATTACCGAGAAGTTGTTAAATTTTTGATAAGATCTTAATGTTGTATAATTAATATGTATGCAGGGAGGTTTGAATTTTTTTTGCAAATGAAGGTCTATTTCTAGCTTAGTGGAAGAGTGCTGTGCTTTTTAAATTAATTTTGTTCTCAATTTGAAAATGTTTTTTGTTCTTTAAACACTACGCAAATCTTTCGGTTTTTCCTCATTTTTTTTAATCTTGTAGATGTAAAAAGTGGCTGTAGGGTTGTTTCGAAACAATGGGGAAAGATTTGTGTAATTTATCACTAATTCTGGTTACGCTACCTTCTGCTTTCTTTTTTTGAAGCGTTGAATACTGTTTTTTAAATATTGTTTGTAGTCGCCGACGTCTTCGTGCTTTTTTCCCGTGGTTCTTTGTTACAGATCTCTTTTCTTGTCTAATGTATTCATTGAGAGCAATTTTGAAATTCAGCTAATTACAGAAGTTAGCAAATCTTTACCCTTTTCTGCTTTGTTGTGTTTTTATAGTGAATTCTTTGTCTTATACAGTTGGCAAGTAAGGAAGAATATGTAGAAGAATTTTCGTTAGGTTTTAATATCATCTGGTGAGCGAAGTAGTACTTTATGACGCTTTGCTTTGGCTAGAAAAAAAATTAAATTTTGAGGTTTAGGCTATTCTGTTGTCACAACATAGAACACTGAGCAAAAAGCAAAAAAGTGTTGGAGAAATTGTAAAGTAATTAACTGTTTTTAGCTGTTAGTCAACGGGTCGCAGAAACGACAAAATATTGTTCTTTAGTTTATTTAATTATTAACTACTTTATACTGTGAGGACCTTAGAAATTAAAAAGAATAGGATTTTTTGTTGTTTCGGCGCTACTCACTTTTCATGACTTTTTATGTCAAGGTTTTTGCTGGAGAAAATTGTTCACTGCAGCATGGTTGAATAAGTTTTCTAAATGGATATTTGGTTAGATGATTATTCGTACATTTTGGGCTAACAGTTGTTGAGAATCTGTTAGCAATTTGGGCAGTAGTTATTTCTGACGATATAATAAGTTTGTTTTCACTTTTTTTTTTTTGTTCTGCTGGTCTACTATCCAATACAGAGGAAAAAATTTGCTTGTATTGGTAATTAGTGTACCATCTTGACGGCGTTTTCGTTTTGTGTTACTGTGTTGACTTCCCTTTTAACTTTATGGCTTTTTTCAAGGAGTTATTAATGTACAAAAAATGGAGCTGTTTGAAGAACTAATTAATAAAAAGGTTTATTGATTATAGAGTTCTAAACGCTAGAATCATAATTGTGGCCACCGAAAATTGAAGGAGTGTTGCAGCAGAAAACTCTCCTTCCACTGCTGTAGTTGTTGATGGCAGGTCAGCTGTTGTGCATTGTTTGTTAATGTCTTATCTACTACTGCTGACAACTTCGGTAGTATCCGTTTTCAATTGGGGTGTTAGCAGAAGTTTGGGAGTAATTTCAGTTTTATGCATACTTTTTAACAGGATTACTGTTATTGTTTGAGTAATTTTTGTTTCAATTAGTGTGGTTTACGTCTGGGAGGACGTAGCAAGAAACCTGAGAAGAACCACGTTTTAGTCAAAAAAGGTGGTAGCGAGATGATATGAGAGGAAAATGCAGTATCTTACTAGATAAGAAAACTAAAGATACTGCTTTGGGAATAGAGACTACTGCACTAGAACGGGAAAAAATGATGAGGAGAAGGGAGGAGAAGGTGAAAGTATATTGTGTCTAATTCTTAAAATTTTTATTTTGGCGGTCCTTTTTTGTTTAGGTCTAGAAGAAATATAGAAATACGCTCCCTCTAAGTAACGTATACTTTGTTAAGTAATTACTGTAGTAAAAATAATAAATGCACTTAAATATCTTTTTTTTTTTCTCTTACTGCAGCCTGTATAGCCTTCTGTAAAAAAAAAAAAATAAAAGGAAGCGTAATATGAATGGTAAGGGAAGCCAAGAAGTGAACGACATAAAAAAATATAAATTTTTATTTGGTGAGAAAATTAAAAAAAATAATTGTGGAAGAATAACTGTCTGATACTGGTTTTTTACAGCAGATTTGGTTTTCATGACGGAAGGATAAGACTGAGGGCGTTGGAACTTCTGCAGATTAAGAAGAAAATAAAGCTAATGGAGAGGGCGCAATGCGGTGTTCCGTGCCAGATGTGTCCGGCCTGGAATGTCAGATGCCAGACAACTACGGCAGCGAAAGATGTTGGATTCCGGGCGACTAGGAGTACGCAAAAGTTCTGGTGTCTGACGGCTCCGATAACGCAAAATTCCCTGTATCAGACGAAAATTATGCAGGTTCCTGAGAATCATCGATCGTTAGTGGGAGTATCCAATACTGTTCTGGACGAACGAATTGGCGGCGGCAAGAAGTTAGTGACATACAAGAAGCATACTGATATTTTTTGAAAAAGAAAATTAATTTGTTATTTTTGAAAAAAAGTTATAAAAAGATTGATTAGGTAAATTCAAGGTGAGCAAAGAGTGGATATAACACCAACAGAAAGCGAATATTGGTATGGAAGGCAGGAATAAATTGCAGTTTCAACTAACAGTTCATCACCAACTGCTGAGGCTAATCCTGCCAGCCTGCACGGTGTCGCCATAGGCAAACGACGCAACGGCGAGACAAAGTGATCAGCTTAGCTTGGATACCAGTCAATACCAGTCAACAGCAGAGATATAAAATTATACGTTTTACCGACAGTTCCTCTTCTGTCACCTCTTCGCTCATAGTTGGCTCAATAACTCAATAGGTCTTGTTAATCTGGTCAAATTTATCGCTACTTGTTTCTTCTGAATGCCCCTCAACAGGACCACCGCTTCTGTGGTGAACCTGTAGCTGGTGATAACTTCGCACAATAGCAAGCATTTACAACTTAAAATGAACTGACTGATCCCATTTGTCAAATGAGAAGGTGTAAGTAGATACAGTGAGTGACAACAGATTTAGCAACGTCTGCCGTAACTATTCAACAACTCTTTCAGTCGGGAAGTATTTATCGTAATACTTCTCTAGCAACTCCGGAAGGCTCAAGCTGTGCACTTTGCTACTTTGAGCAATCGATAGTCGCCTACGCTTATAGGGTCGATTCTTTGAAGGCTGTTTGAGGAGGTCAGCGGTACTGACAGTGGACTTAAAAGACGAAGCATTGAGTTTTATGTTGAGAAACTCGTTTAATTTATGTAGTTTTCTTGTTATCTCTATAGTGTTTAGAATATGATAAGACGGATTAGTGGATACAAGTTCAGTGCTCTGACTAATACAGTCTCAATGAATAGAGTAGCTTCGATAAATGATGAGACGTTGGACACTGGTTTATTACCCTATTTAGCATAATTTTAGTGAAAAAATGTATAAATTAAAAATTAAATAATAAACTTTGAACAAAATTGAAAAAGTTTCAGAGACTACAATTATATTTATTATTTACGGGAAAAAGCTTCAATAATATAAAAGTTTGTCAATTTTTAATTATATTTTCAAGGCGTAGAAACCTAATATGTAGCCATAAACCCTATAAGCACCTTACACGTAGGTAGGGCCAATAAAACATTTTTCTCTGCAGTGTCTGATTTTGAGTGAATATTCTTCACATTAAGTGATATGTTGTAAAACTTGTTTAACTCACGGTATACTGGGTGGAAATTCTTTCACAACGTTCTATAGTTAGTTAATTTCTTTTTGTAATACTTGCCTGTTGTAGTTTTTTTTTGTTGTACAGTACAGAAGCATTGAATTGATTTGTCTAATATTCACCAAATCAAAGACGATACTGTATTTTTCTATACGGTGCCTCTTTAATTTTTTCGAGAACTTTTTTTCTCTTCTACAATATTTGATATCTGAATAATCCTAGCTGTATTGTATTTGATTATGGTCATACTGCAGATTTCTTTTTATTTTTTTATGATATATACTTATTTAAACTGGTCAAAAAGACTAATATTCTCTCTTTTCCTTAAGTCTCTACTCAGCTTGAAGTTGCTACAATGTGTTTTAAAGCAAAACTTTCTATACAAAAAAGTAGGATTTGTTTGCCGAAGTTGATCGCAAAATGATAGCAAGACGAAAAAGAATAAGCAAAATCAACAGTAATAATTTTTTTGAACATAATTTTAATGTTGGGGGATTGATATGAGTTGCATGGTCTAAGAAGATTTATTTAGCTTTTTAGTTTAAGTTGAATAGTGATAGTATATGTTTTATTCATTTTCATGGATCATCCGTTTTAATTGAAATATACTTGTCAGGGAAATTCGACAACCAGACCGCACTATGGGAAATGCGCATTAATACTATCCCTATGGATAACAATGTACATACAAATGCAAACTGAACGATGCGCTCTTTGAGATCTGAAAATATAGTGATAGTTCAGAACTTGACTGAAAGAAATTTGAATTTTGTGTAAATTTAGACGAGACCATAATTTATTATTGTTTTTTTTTTAGATGTATGAAAGAATTTATCTTGTCATGTAAATCATAGTAAATCAGGATACCTAATAATGAAGATGATACTTCGTTGATTTTTTTGTCAGCAGCATTGAAATTCGTCTCCAGTAAAGTACTCTTATCTAAGTTACATCTTTTTAATAACATGTACTTCTTTCGCCGCTATATTTTAGTAAAAGGGAATTTTTCAAGATTATAAAAAGAGATTCAATGTTTTATTTAAACAAAAAATACAGTCTTTATAAAATGTGAAGAAAGTGAAAAATTTTTATTGGTTATTTACTTCTTTCTGGGCCAACAATTTTGCTAAACTTGACGTTGTACTTCGATAAAGTTTGACATATTTTTTCTCCCGAACCTCCAATGACGTTCTGTTTTAGGTCACTGAAATATTTTGCACTTGTTGACGAGTCTAATGGTGAGATTAATAAACAAGAAAAGCAGAAAGTGTTTGCCGTCAAATTCAATATAATACTGAAACTAACTCATTCATATTAGTTATCCTAATGCATTTTTTAATAGTGCTGTCCCAGGCGCACTGTGGATCTCTTATAGCAATACAGTCACTGCAGTTGGTAAATTTAGAGCACTGAGCTGTTGGTATACGATAAACCATTCGGTGCGTAGTAACAACCAGGTAACTTTGGTTTGTTTTTAAAAGACCTTTATGAAACTTCCTTTTGTATAAGAACATCGTGTTAATTGGTTCCTACAAATACTTATTATGCGGAAACAGCAATATTTCTTTCAACAATAAAACTGAATTTTCGCAACCGGAACAGTTGAAAACAAAGCTGCTTTTTAAACCTACCTTCTTCTAACTCTCATTTTAAACTCTACAAAGACTCAGTATTTCTTTCACTAGACGTTGGTTAAGAACTTTTTGTCAACAGAAAATCTGTCTTTCTAATTTTTACTTGAGGTCATCTCATAGTAAAACAAAAAAGAAAATTTGGAAAAAGTGAAAATATTTGAAAGTTCTACCACAAGATGAAATCTCTTAGAATTGTCATTGGTGGTTTTGTAATCTCTTGAAAACTTTTCTTAATTTACAGTTGCTCTATTTTGTTGTTGCCACTGAGTTTGTTTCACTGTCATCGTTATCCTTGAAGTCTCAGAGTTAAATGCTAGATCCAGAATGGAAACCCCAAGTAGAACGAAGATTCGCGAGTATTTTAAAGATAAGCACTTTTTTGGCACATTTTTTTGCAAATTTCTCATTAAAAGTGTCTACCAATTTTTTGATCTTGTTTATTTGTACTAAACGAGTTTTACAGCGCACGTACACTAGTGAATTTGCTGGATGAATGTCACGGTTTTTCCTCTCATGACGAAAAGAATAAAAATACTTTTGTTTCTGGCATTGCCAAAATTTCCCTAGCTTATGCTTACAGCACTTCATAATTATTATCTAATTACTAAAATACTAGGCTTAGGATATTAGCGTGTAAATACCAGCAATAGTTCTCTTTATATAAACAGAAATTGTGTGTTACTTTACGGTAAGCTGAACTGCGCTGCGTGCTAAGTGCATATATTGGGAACACGTTCCCGAAATTAGGAGCGGAGGGAGAGGGAGAAAGGGAAATTAAAAGAGCTTTATCAGTGACACGATGCGCGCTAGCTGTCTAAAAAATTTTCTGTCACTGCGAAGAAGAAATATGGGCTCTCTAACTGAAGTTAAAACCTTCTCCAAAATGTTGTTATGCTTCCTTCTCGAGGTTCTTATAAGAGTATCTTCTTTTTAGAATTGTTTGCTTCAAAAACGGTGCTTGCTGTTCGTTCTCATTTTTTATTTCTGTAATCGAGTATATTTTGACTAGCACTGTTTACAGAAACTGTTAAGGCGTTAGGTCTCTTCCGTTGCATATTCTTTTAAACGTATATACTTTTGACATATCCGCGTAATGTCACATCTGCTTGATAATTAGAAACAGAGCATATGATATCTAACTTTTACGTTATCTTAAAATTTGTGACTACGCTGATTAGCTTCTGGTACCTTTTCATGTAACATAGTTATAGAGCAATTTTTGTACTCATGTTTAAACAGTGCTACTTGTAAGCAAATTATTGTTTCCGCAAACGACGTAGAGGTTTACTTTGCTAAATGAAAACTTTTTTTGCCAAAAAGTGCCTTCATTTTTAGACTGATTCAAAAAAGTTGCCAGACAAAAAACAAAAACTGTCAATTTTTTATCCGGAAGGCAGTACAAAAATGTTTCTATGATGGCTATTTTTCAAAGTTTTTTTAAAGATACCTTTGCGACGTGGAGTTTGTATTTGCAGTAATGCTGTTTGTTTTCAGCCCTTGACCCTTCAAAATTGACAATCTTAAAAATCTGTCCTTGACTCGTAGAAACGTATAATAAATCGTAGTACCGGCCATCCAGTGCTTTAACCTAAAGAATTTTGTTCTTTTTTTACTTTGCTTTAGATGAGGTGCATTAAAAACCGTTATGTCAAACGTGAATCAAAACTGTTATGACAGTGCATTTTAAAAAATTTCTCACAGTACCACTTTTGGCAGTGATGTTCTTTTGCAATTCTTAAATGACCACCTTGAACTGAAAGCAAAAGTCTATTGTTCAAGATAGCTTTGCTACACAACGGAAGGTAGATTAAAAAAAAATAAATGAAAGTCTACTCGAGCATCGACTGCAATGTGCGTGAAGTAATCGGCTCCATAATAGGTATAGACTGGTAAACCAAAGTAGCTTTCAACTGGTTCGGTTGTTAGGAAACCTAGTTGGGCATCAGCTATAGCAAGGGCAGACAATTTTCTTGAGTCTTTCAGACACGTACCTAAGAAACTGATTTGTTGCTGAACACTTTTTCGACAGACTGATTTTTTTTATTGCATGCAGCGTAAAATCGAAAGTGTTTAGCAGAGTCGTACACTTGCCGACAAATATGTCAAGCTATAAATGTATCTTATTGTTCCTTTTTCTGAATTTTTGAACTTTCTTATATTTATTTCACATAATCGCTCGACTTTTTCTCACGTAAACATTTCTCTCTGTCTAGTAGTCTGTGGGTTTTTTACGGTAGGTTATTGTAAATACAAAATTTGTGCCTTCTACTAGCTGGCGTCATTTGTAATGACATCGCTGCAAAGAATTTAAAAAACAGGCTGCAAATTGAATTAATTTAAGAAACATCTAGATATTGGTAAAGACTTCAATAATTTGTGAAGAGAGGCATCAATTTGCGCCAAAAAGCATTTTAAGCATTTTAAAATTCTTTTCCCACTTCTGAAACTAATCAAAGTAGAATAAGAATGTGTACTAAAAAATTTTTATAAGTTTTATAAACAAAATTTTAGCTTTAAGGGTTACTTTGAAAACCTCTAGGTAGAAGAGTTTTAAAAGAACGGGAGCAGTATGCCACACATTTCAAAAGCTTTTTTTTTGTTTATTTATTTATTTGTTGCTTATAAGGTTTTTGATGTTGTTCTAATATTTCTTAGAAAATCTGTGCGATACTTTATACTTTCGGGTACTCTGCTTTAACGTAAGTCACTGGTGTAGCGCTACAAAAATTAGTTATTATGGAAATTTTCAGATTTTGGTTTTAGTAATAGCTTAATGCATTTTTCAAGTTAGTTTCTTTGCCACTTTGTAACATTTGGTTATACCTTCATTTTTAAACAAAGCTACCATAGCAGGTGCTTGTTTAGGGAAGACGTTTCCAAAAACCTCAACCTGGTAGACTAATAAGTGGCTGTAATATTGACTGAAATAATTGCAACGAATGAGTGGCAGCAGCTGACAAATCCACTTTTTATTCAGAAAGGTTTGGTTTAAAAGAGGCTGCGTCTAAATTTTTAAAATCCTTAGTGACCTTTCTTCAAAATTTTCTGCGACATTTCGGTAACTCTGTTTCCCAAATTTCAAAAATTTTTTCAAAACAGTTCACAAAACTGCATTTAAAAAATTCTTTTAGTTTCAAAACGGCTCAAGTTTCTTTTAAATTTTGAAAAAAATTGCTGCTTAATTTTTTAAAGATATTAAGAAACTTTGTTTATAAATCACTTTCCATTTTGAGAAGTCACATATTTTTTGTTCTTATAACCTTTGTTAAATATTGTTGGAAATA